ATCGACCCAATCCACACAACGGTCCATCCGACCTAACGAGCTGCTATCACTAATCCGCTCAGTCTGCACTCATTCGATTAAATCTACTCTCTAAACTAAATACTCTTTAACTTAGAGAGTGGGGGGCTAACTGTTAGGGCTAAAAATTGTCTTGAGCTTAACGAGGCCCAATAACGAAATAAACATGTCACGGCCCAAGGCCTTAGCCCAATCCCGATTAGGCCTACGCTTAAAATCACCTTGTGAACTACCCACTCTATGAGTTAGGCTATCCTATAAGTTAGGGTCTGCTTGGGAGTTTTTTTTTCATTGGTTTTGAGGGGTTTTTAATTAGACTAGTTTTGAGGTGTTTAAAAACCATTACTTGCCAGATTTTTGATGGACTGGTTTTGACTGGTTTAAAAAACCCCTTAAAACCAGTGTAGTGTATTTTTAAGGGGTTTATAAAATACCCCAAATCGAGGTGTTTTGGCTAGTTTTTAATTTTTATCCCAAAAAAACACATTTCCACTATTAATAATCCCTTTTGCTGCTAAAAAAAAAGGTCACAGAATAGATGTGCTTGATCCCTCACTCTTCTTCTTATCTGCTATCGGAGTTTCTTTTTTATCAACAGAACCTAAACTTGAACCAGCTTTTAAACCTGAGGTGGCGTTTTGTTTTTTGTTACTAGGAGGAGAAGTGGTATTATTAGTATTGGTTGTTGGATTTCTATTGCTTCTTGCACCAGTCGTTACAGCTTTCTCTTCTGTTTTGACCTTTAATAAGCTACTGCTTCATTCTACAGAGGGCTGCTTTATATCAGTAGGCGGCTTCTTGTCATTAGTTTATTGTTGTTGTTGTCGAGCAAATGTAGAAGCAGTGTAAGGTTTAGTTGAAACAGAACTGTGTTTACGACAGACAATAATGGGAGTAGATTGTTTATGTTTAGCAAGCAATGAATCAAATCTTTCAAGGTGGTGTTTCAATTGTGGTGGTAACGAAGCAAGAGCAGGTGGTAGTAGTGGTTCTTGTGAAGAATCAGACCTGTAATTTTATTTCTTAATCTCATTAGAGAAAAGATTACGAAGCTGAAAAAACACTCAGACTTGATATTTTGCACTTTTTGTTAGGCTTTTGTTATGGACATATATGTAAATTTATCATTTTAAAAAACTGTCAGAATCGTTGGAAAATAAACTCCCAAACACAGGTTGAGTGTTTTAAAAACCGCTACTAAAAACCTCTCAAAACCGCTACGAAAGTTTATCTTCAAAACCGCTACGATAGTTTACCCTCATAACCGCTACCATAAAACTCCCAAACAGACCCTTAAGCTAAAGTGGGTTTTAGCCCATTAGCCTGCAACAGTCCATAAATAGGAAATCATAATTATTTTCTATTTCCTCTTCTGCTGAGATTCCTAATCTTACTCAAACTATTAAACTTAATCTGATAAAGTCAAGAAATCATATTTTTTTCTTGATAGGGATTATCTCCCAAAAGAGGACTTAGTGTCCTACTAGGATTCCAACCCCTTCGGTTCACTATAAAAACAGAGGCTTGCCCTCTCATAGGGGGGAATCTCTCATAGTCAATCTACACTACTCAAAACCATCTATTTGCTCCTAAAGTTCTTGCTCCCAAGAACCTGGTGCCTCCACCGTAGTCCTAGCTTCCGACAAGACTCCTGGTAATTCTTCATCTCCTTAATTCTTGTCAAATAATCTCTTTCAGCCTTGCTGACTTTAGCATTGGAGTGCCTATGGAAAACGCCACCCCGGTGTTTTTCGGAAGCTTCACGCTTGTCCTTTCATGTGTAGGTGTAGCGGCTTGTCAGTGACCTCAACCTCACAGGATCAAACCCTATTTTCGTGATGGTAGATTTTTTGCATCTACAAAACTCATTTATTAAACTCAACAAAAACTCATAGTTTATGATTTTTCATCAATTAAGAAAGTTAAAAGAAAAGATTTTTAAGAAAAAAAAAAGCATCATTTTATTTTGTAATCTCTAAAGGAATAATCTTTCTTAAGTAATCCAATCAAAGAAAAAAGAAAGTATGAGAAAGAAAGAGAGTAAACGAAAAAGATAGAAAGTGTAAAAAAGTGTTAATTTAAATTTTTGTGAGGTCAAAATTGTAAATTTTATAATATATAAGGACTGTTTTAACTTTTTTTTTAAAGTTGAGTGAGTTCAATTGAACACATAATTGTGTATGTTGCTAATATATATATCTTATATATATATATAAATATATATATATATATATATATATATATATATATAATATATATTTCCAAATTCTTAAATTAGAATATTTTTTCTTCTATTCTTGAAAATGATTTTGTAAGTTCATGCACTACTATATTATATATGAATGTATATTAATTAATATCTGAAATTAAATAAAAATTTTAAGATACCATAGCGTGACCCTATATAGAGTATGCATGGAATAATATTTTTTAGAGTTGCATCAAAGATAACTGCTTCGACTACGAACAGTCGAACTAATGACACATTATTTTCACTTCAATAAACCAGTTAATATACTATACAACTAGTACATTAGATTTACTCATCCGTATAGTGGGTTTCCTATTAGAGATGGGCGCTATCCTCATATTTTCAGGGGCCAGCTCCCAAGGACGTAACCAGAATTTTTATTCATTGGGGTCAAAACAATTAAGTTGATAAATCCAAGCTCTAAATCTTATAATTTAAGATTTTCAAATAATTTCTACTATTCTAATAAAATTTAACTCATAAACAAATAAAAACTCATCAAATCTAACTTTAAATATCAATCAATTAACCAATATATCAAAATTAAATCAAATCTTCAAATCTTTACGATTTAAGATTTAGTCAATTTTTTAAACCTATTCAAAATTAACTCAATAACTAACCAAAATTTATCAAACCCAACTTAAAACCATAACTAATTAACCCATATCTCAACATAAATATGATTAAATCAAAACTCACATAAAAATCTAAAAATTTCATCTCCCAATTTCAAATTTGTTTATTAAACTCAACAAAAACTCATAGTTCATAATCTTTCATCAATTAAAAAAGTTAAAAGAAAGGAATTTTAAGTAAAATATATATAAAAAATGAGTATCATCGTATCTTGTAACTCAAATGAGTAGTATTTATTGAATATAGAACCAAATGAAAAAGATAATATGAGAGTAAAGGAGAGGAAACGAAGATGAGAAAAAAGTTAAAAAAATATTATCTAATAATTTATTTTTATGGCGAAATTTAAATTTCATAAAACTTAAAGACTTTTTTATTTTTTTTATTTCTTTAAAACATTGAGTTAGAGGTGGGTAGGGACCGGTCCCAAGCAGGCCTAGGTCTGAGCCGGTTTGGGACTGGTCCTAAATGGGACCAGTCACTCATGGGTCCCAGGCCCAAGAAAAAAATTAGGACCCGGACCAGGCTTTAGGCCTGGTAGGGACTGGTTCTATGGGCCCAGGATCGGTCCTAAGACCAGTCCCATGTGGCTTGGATAATTAATTTTTCCCCCTCAATTTTTTTTTATATTTTGGGGGCAAAATGAAATTTTATTGAGGGTTTTTCAGTATTTTTTACGGGTAAAATTTATAAATTTTATAAATTTTTTAGACCTGGAAGATTTTTTTTTCATAAATTTTGTAAAATGTTATTTTAGCCCTCTTAATTTATATTTATTTTCAAATTAACAGGAGGTTTTATGTAATTTTGCAGGAGACTATATTGAAAAAATACAAATTTTTTTGGGCCTAAGCCTGGAACTGGTCCCAGGCTCGAGCCTTGGAGGAGGCCTAATGGAGGGCCCGGACCCTCCTCCTTAGGCCTGGTCCCGTTTTGGGACTAAGCCTCCTAGGTCCGGTCCTCTCAAGGATCAATCCTAGGACCAGGTTTTCGAGTTGGGCTTTTGGGCCCGATCCCAAATGTCCAGCTCTACATTGAGTGGATTCAATTGAATGTGGCTACGTGCTTGCCCGCTCCACCCCGTATGAGGAGGGGATTCCCCTAAAAAGTAGCGGACTGAGACCAAAAAATTCCCAGTCCCAAGGGGACAAAGATAGGGAGAGATGTCTCCCCGCTCCGCTTCGCTTAACTCGTATCCGAATAGTGAAAACGGATTGACCTGGATCCGTTTTATAAACATCTCCATTCTTCATTTCTTCTCCAGTTTTCAACTCATCTCTCCTCTGAACTTGAAATCGAATCTCTCTTCTCTTACACATTTCAACTTCTTTCTCTAGAGAATCTCATATTATTAGAACTTCGAAGCTGACAGTTATCGATTCCAACCGTCGTCGCCTCGTTCAGGCTAATCGATGAGTGTTTTGGTACTTTTCATGTTTTCCTTTTTTTTTTAGATTTTGGATTTAGGGTTTCATGTCTTTTTGGATTTTGGTTGGTGGAATTGTGTGTTGGTTGCATTGCTTGAAGAGGGCATTGTACGAAAACACTAAGGTTTGTTTGGGGGAATGGCAAAAATCCCCATAGGATTCTTTTCCGTTGTCTGAGGCGAGTGGGATTCCCCATCATCCCCATAGCGGGGACGGGGCGGGGAAGAGAACCTGGCCCCGCCCCGTTCCCATCCCTAGTTCCTGTGTATGGCAGAGATTTTTCAACAAAACATATTATAGCTAATTACATTATTATGATATCATATTTAAATCAAATATTATAAGGTTCATGCTTGTGTACTGTTTCTAGAAGAAGAAAATTTGTTATCTCTTGTTTTCATCGATCTTTTCATAAATAAAAATAACAATTTATGTTGGTTAGCTATCGTCAATCACGTACAGGAAAAATAGAGGATACATGACAATAATGGCATGAATACTTATAACACATCATGTTTTAATCACGCTAATTAAACATATACACGTGAATTTCATTTACATTAAGTTAATTAAACATAGGTTACTTACACAGAAATTCTTTGCTAGCGAGTTTCTGTCTTGGCTATATAAATCTTTGTTACCTTCGGCCTTTTATGCTGAGTTAACAAAAACTCATGGAATCGGCAGAAGCTGAACAGGCATCACTAGGAGGCCAAGCTGAAATATGGCAACACATGTTTGCTTTCGTTGATTCTCTGGCGTTGAAGTGTGCTATTGAGCTTCGAATACCTGACATAATACACTCCCATGATGCCCCAATCAGTTTGTCCCAAATAGCTTCGTGCATCGACTCATCCTCCAAGCCTCACATCTCCCACCTCCAACGCATCATGAGATTGCTAGTTCGTAAAAAGATCTTCTCCGCACATTATCCATCAGACGGTGGAGAGCCCCAGTATGGATTAACACACTCGTCAAGATGGCTAGTTAATGATTCTGATTATAGCCTGGGACCCTTGTTTTTGGTTGAGAACCATCGGTACGTTGTGGATTCGTGGCATTCTCTGAGCCATTGTGTGAAAGAAGGTGGCATTGCTTTCGAAAAGGCTCATGGGAAAGCGATTTGGGATGTGGTAAAACAAGATCATCATTTCAACCAGATGTTTAACAATGGCATGGCCTGTAACTCGAGGATATTAACAAGGGAAATTATAGCAGGATATAAAGATGGGTTTGATTGTTTAGCATCTTTGGTGGATGTAGGAGGTGGGATTGGAGGGATGATATCTGAGATTNGGGATTCCCCTAAAAAGTAGAGGACTGAGACCAAAAAATTCCCAGTTCCAAGGGGACGAAGACAGGGAGAGATGTCTCCCCGCTCCGCTCCACTTAACTTGTATCCAAATAGTGAAAACGGATTGACCTGGATCCGATTTATAAATATCTCCATTCTTCATTTCTTCTCCAGTTTTCAACTCATCTCTCCTCTGAACTTGAAATCGAATCTCTCTTCTCTTACACATTTCGACTTCTTTCTTTAGCAAATCTCATATTATTAGAACTTCGAAGCTGACAGTCATCGATTCCAACTGTCGTAGCCTCGTTAAGGCTAATCGATGAGTGTTTTGGTACTTTTCATGTTTTCCTTTTTTTTTTAGATTTTGGATTTAGGGTTTCATGTCTTTTTGGATTTTGGTTGGTGGAATTGTGTGTTGGTTGCATTGCTTGAAGAGGGCATTGTACGAAAACACTAAGGTTTGTTTGGGGGAATGGCAAAAATCCCCATAGGATTCTTTTCCGTTGTCTGAGGCGAGTGGGATTCCCCATCATCCCCATAGCGGGGACGGGGCGGGGAAGAGAACCTGGCCCCGCCCCGTTCCCATCCCTAGTTCCTGTGTATGGCAGAGATTTTTCAACAAAACATATTATAGCTAATTACATTATTATGATATCATATTTAAATCAAATATTATAAGGTTCATGCTTGTGTACTGTTTCTAGAAGAAGAAAATTTGTTATCTCTTGTTTTCATCGATCTTTTCATAAATAAAAATAACAATTTATGTTGGTTAGCTATCGTCAATCACGTACAGGAAAAATAGAGGATACATGACAATAATGGCATGAATACTTATAACACATCATGTTTTAATCACGCTAATTAAACATATACACGTGAATTTCATTTACATTAAGTTAATTAAACATAGGTTACTTACACAGAAATTCTTTGCTAGCGAGTTTCTGTCTTGGCTATATAAATCTTTGTTACCTTCGGCCTTTTATGCTGAGTTAACAAAAACTCATGGAATCGGCAGAAGCTGAACAGGCATCACTAAGAGGCCAAGCTGAAATATGGCAACACATGTTTGCCTTCGTTGATTCTCTGGCGTTGAAGTGTGCTATTGAGCTTCGAATACCTGACATAATACACTCCCATGATGCCCCAATCAGTTTGTCCCAAATAGCTTCGTGCATCGACTCATCCTCCAAGCCTCACATCTCCCACCTCCAACGCATCATGAGATTGCTAGTTCGTAAAAAGATCTTCTCCGCACATTATCCATCAGACGGTGGAGAGCCCCAGTATGGATTAACACATTCGTCAAGATGGCTAGTTAATGATTCTGATTATAGCCTGGGACCCTTGTTTTTGGTTGAGAACCATCGGTACGTTGTGGATTCGTGGCATTCTCTAAGCCATTGTGTGAAAGAAGGTGGCATTGCTTTCGAAAAGGCTCATGGGAAAGCGATTTGGGATGTGGTAAAACAAGATCATCATTTCAACCAGATGCTTAACGATGGCATGGCCTGTAACTCGAGGATATTAACAAGGGAAATTATAGCAGGATATAAAGATGGGTTTGATTGTTTAGCATCTTTGGTGGATGTAGGAGGTGGGATTGGAGGGATGATATCTGAGATTGTCAAATCAAATCCTCATATCAAAGGCATCAACTTTGATTTGCCACATGTCATCGCCAATGCAACTGTGTATGATGGTGTTTCACATATTGCAGGTGACATGTTTAATGCCATTCCTAAAGCTGATGCAATTCTCTTGAAGGTATGCCGCTAAAACTTAAATATAACAGTTATATTTATATACGAATCATGATCACATAGATTGGTCGATGTTCAAGTCTATATATGGCCGTATATTACAATAGTTTACATGATTTATTTTTATTTTTTACTTTTAAATTAATTTTCCAAGCTGCGTACAGTGGATAATGCACAATTGGGGGGATGAAGCATGTGTGAAGATTTTGAAAAACTGCCGGGAAGCAATACCGGAGAAAACTGGAAAAGTAGTTATTGTTGACATGGTTTTAAAACCTGATGGAAATGAGCTGTTTGGTGAGACTGGTTTGGCATTTGATTTAGTTATGATGGTTAACACTGGGGTGGAAAGGAGAGGACTGAACTTGAATGGAAGGAAATATTGGAGAAAGGGGGCTTCCCTAACTACAAAATCATCAAAATTCCAGCTTTACAATCCATTATCGAGGCTTATCCTCAGTGATGGATGGTGGATCCTTATCAGTAAACTTAAATATTATGTATAAGAAAATAATAAATGTTCATGGCTGATGCAACTACTGCAGTGCTCTACCTAATAATTGAGAAGAACGAATTATAAATGGGTGGACTGTTTTTGTTTTAATTATATGATTATATTGTACGTTCATCCAATATCCTATCAAGACTTTATATTATAAAATTATAAGGATATGACTGGATTAATGATGATGAACCTTATAAAAGAACATATACATGCAATTAAGCGCACATATATATATAATTCTTTTAGAATTTAAATGATTTAAATATTTAATATAACATGAGAAGGAGTGCTTAAAGCACATATAGTTCCGCTCTAGCAATTACATTTCTGGATTTAATAGCAATTTTTTTTAAGTATGTTTATTGGTTATCATATATATGACAATTACACTACTTACGTCAAACTTCAATGGGACTTGTGCTTTTGGATGTAAAGATGAAGATCCTTTATTTCTATTTAAATATTTTTAATGGGAGCAGTTGGTGCTTACAATACAAGATCTTTCCACGTCTGATTCGGACGAAATTAAAGTTGAATAAAATTGGTTTTCTAATTGCTAAATTGGTGTAGCAGTTAGTAATTGACGTGGGTCGTGGAAAACATGTTACTATTTTCTTTCCACGCAGACAAAATAAAGGATATGATTGGAGCTTTGAGAAATGATATTTAAACTGCATGATTGGGTTGGCCTTGTTGCCTGTTAGTATTTAACAACACTAACATGCACAAACTGTCATCTAATAATGCATTGAATCATGGACACAGAAGATAATTTAAGATTAACCCATATAGAAGAGGGCATTGTACGAAAACACTAAGGTTTGTTTGGGGGACAGGTCCGAGGCGAGTGGGATTCCCCATCATCCCCATAGCGGGGACGGGGCGGGGAATGAGAACCTGGCCCCGCCCCGCTCCCATCCCTAGTTCCTGTGTATGGCAGAGATTTTTCAACAAAACATATTATAGCTAATTACATTATTATGATATCATATTTAAATAAAATATTATAAGGTTCATGCATGTGTACTGTTTCTAGAAGAAGAAAATTTGTTATCTCTTGGTTTCATCGATCTTTCCATAAATAAAAATAATAATTTATGACAATAATGGCATGAATACTTATGACACATTATGTTTTAATCACGCTAATTAAACATATAAACGTGAATTTCATTTACATTAAGTTAATTCAACATAGGTTACTTACACAGAAATTCTTTGCTAGCTAGTATCTGTCTTGGCTATATAAATCTTTGTTACCTTCGGCCTTTTATACTGAGTTAACCAAAACTCATGGAATCGGCAGAAGCTGAACAGGCATCACTAAGAGGCCAAGCTGAAATATGGCAACACATGTTTGCCTTCGTTGATTCTCTGGCGTTGAAGTGTGCTATTGAGCTTCGAATACCTGACATAATACACTCCCATGATGCCCCAATCAGTTTGTCCCAAATAGCTTCGTGCATCGACTCATCCTCCAAGCCTCACATCTCCCACCTCCAACGCATCATGAGATTGCTAGTTCGTAAAAAGATCTTCTCCGCACATTATCCATCAGACGGTGGAGAGCCCCAGTATGGATTAACACATTCGTCAAGATGGCTAGTTAATGATTCTGATTATAGCCTGGGACCCTTGTTTTTGGTTGAGAACCATCGGTACGTTGTGGATTCGTGGCATTCTCTAAGCCATTGTGTGAAAGAAGGTGGCATTGCTTTCGAAAAGGCTCATGGGAAAGCGATTTGGGATGTGGTAAAACAAGATCATCATTTCAACCAGATGCTTAACGATGGCATGGCCTGTAACTCGAGGATATTAACAAGGGAAATTATAGCAGGATATAAAGATGGGTTTGATTGTTTAGCATCTTTGGTGGATGTAGGAGGTGGGATTGGAGGGATGATATCTGAGATTGTCAAATCAAATCCTCATATCAAAGGCATCAACTTTGATTTGCCACATGTCATCGCCAATGCAACTGTGTATGATGGTGTTTCACATATTGCAGGTGACATGTTTAATGCCATTCCTAAAGCTGATGCAATTCTCTTGAAGGTATGCCGCTAAAACTTAAATATAACAGTTATATTTATATACGAATCATGATCACATAGATTGGTCGATGTTCAAGTCTATATATGGCCGTATATTACAATAGTTTACATGATTTATTTTTATTTTTTACTTTTAAATTAATTTTCCAAGCTGCGTACAGTGGATAATGCACAATTGGGGGGATGAAGCATGTGTGAAGATTTTGAAAAACTGCCGGGAAGCAATACCGGAGAAAACTGGAAAAGTAGTTATTGTTGACATGGTTTTAAAACCTGATGGAAATGAGCTGTTTGGTGAGACTGGTTTGGCATTTGATTTAGTTATGATGGTTAACACTGGGGTGGAAAGGAGAGGACTGAACTTGAATGGAAGGAAATATTGGAGAAAGGGGGCTTCCCTAACTACAAAATCATCAAAATTCCAGCTTTACAATCCATTATCGAGGCTTATCCTCAGTGATGGATGGTGGATCCTTATCAGTAAACTTAAATATTATGTATAAGAAAATAATAAATGTTCATGGCTGATGCAACTACTGCAGTGCTCTACCTAATAATTGAGAAGAACGAATTATAAATGGGTGGACTGTTTTTGTTTTAATTATATGATTATATTGTACGTTCATCCAATATCCTATCAAGACTTTATATTATAAAATTATAAGGATATGACTGGATTAATGATGATGAACCT